CTTATAGGCTAATAATTATATTATAAATAGGAACGATATATATCCTTACTACTTCCTATACGCGTTATACTACGCGTTTATTAACCTTATTATATAAGATCTCTATAACCTGCCTTTAGCCCCTTAGTAGGCTCGGGGCGAAGTGTCTAGGACCTCCTTCTATATAATAGTTAAAGCTTATAATCTTATAAGTTCGAATATAAAACGGGTTACTAAAAGTTATTCACGTATTAAGGCCGAAAATATATATTATTCGAACTAAGGAAGGAAAGGAGGAAAGGAAAAGTCTGCGCAGTGTGTAGGCGGCTAAGTATATATAGGATCGCACGGGCCTTACTAGAAGGTCCGTGCTTCTTGGTCCAGGCCACTGCCGGGGACTGTTCCGCGGGCTATAGTCCGTAATACTTATATATCTTCTTTTCTATAACCTTTATAATATCTTCACGGCTATACTAGCTATAAAGGCGTATATCCGGCCTTATATACTACTAGGCGGTAGTGGTATAGGTATTCTCGTATATCTTGTAGGGCCTCCTTATTACGGGAGGGATAGCCTTTACAGATATATTGCTATAAGGACGCTTCTTATTATCTTTATTATTAGTAGTATCCTTAGTATTAGAGAGGTTCCTAAGGGTATTAAAGGTGCCTCTCCCGACTCTAGGCTTTATAACGGAGGATTATAGGCTTTTTATATTACTAAGAACCGCCCTTAAAGACTTTACGAAGTCGTTAATCGTTAGCTCGTTTTCCGTAATCTTATCGTAGTTATTTACGAGGTAATTATTACTCTATTCCTGGGTAATAGGTCTAATAGCTTTCAACACGTCTTCCGCCTAATAGTCCGCGCTTAATAGCTTTAAAACGCCTATATATATATAGTGTATTATCGCTATTTTCTAGCTTATAACTTACCTGTCTATATCCTTAGGTATAGCCTTTATAGGCGTAGTGTATTATCGATATAGAATCAGAGCTTCCTTATAGAGGTCTATAGAGGGTAATCCTATATACGCGTAAAGGAGAGTAATCCAGGCTTATAGGTTATTTACGTTATCGTCCTATAGTTATATAAGGAGGTTGTATAATATAGTATAAATAATCCCTTCGATATATAAGCGTACCTTATTAAATTTCTTCTACTACGCGTTATACTCTACCTTTTCCTCGCGGTATATGCGGCGATCTTATAGATAGCGCGTACACTCCTTTTTAGAGAGGTCGGTAATAGATATAGACGTCCTTATCGGTAGTTCTTTTATTACGCCCATAGCCTTCCGGCGAGCGGCTATCTTCTCTTTACCGGCGGCCGTAATAGCTATAGCCGCCGTGGCAACGGCTATAGTAGCCGTGGTAATAGCGGCGTCCGTGGCGTTAATAGCCTTATCGCCCTTTAGCGTAATAGTGGAAGATAAAGTAGCCGTGATAATAGAAGACGAAGTGGCCGTGGCCTCCTCTATCGTGTTAGGGTTAATAAGGGCTTCGTATTTATAGATATTAGACGGCGTAGGTATAGGGAGGAGGTAGGCGTTAGCGTCCTTATCGCTTCGCTTTAAATTAAGATAGTTATTCTGATAGGAGGCAGATTTACCGCGTACGGCGTGCTCCTATACTATATAACCCCTTTAGTTAATAAGGGTAATAGCGGCTACTTTCTATTTAGCATTAGATACGTTAAAAGATATCTTTACTTATTACTTATCGATTAATTAATTAATTAATAGGTAAGTTAGTAGGTTAATTAATCGTTTAATTACTCTAATTAGGTTGATAATAGTTATTTAAAAGTGCTCATATAAACGTAATTACTTTTATAGTAGAATAGGAGTAGCCTTATTAATATCTATCGTTTAGGTTTTATAAACCGGGCTTATACCTATCGGACGTTAACATAGCACTTATATAATTAACTTAATAGAGCAAAAATCTTGTATATATATATTATATCAAGTTATATCTATATACATCTCCTATACCCTTAATTTAGGTAGTAAAGACTCTATTATAGGTACTATATCATTTGGATCCTATCCGGTCTTTTCCGGTATCCTACGTTATTATATCCTAGTACCCGAGGTCCCCGAGATCCGAAGCCATTAGTCAGGCATAGATCCCCTAGGGACTATATCGTGGTCCATGTGCCTATACGACAATATCGTATAGGTATACGGACTATAACGTGGTCTCTAGGGGATCTATAGCTAATTAAGGGCTTCGGACCTCGGGGACCTCGGGTATTAGGATATAATAAGGGAGTATATCGGGAAAGACCGGATAGAATCCAAGTAATATAGTATCTATAGACAGAGCCTATACTACCTAAAGTAAGAATATAAGATACTTATATAGATATAATTTAATATAATATATGTACGGGATTTCTGCTATATATATAGATCATTACTATAATTATATTATAAATACTATTTAACGTATAATATCTATTTAACTTATATAGCCTAGTAAATTTCATAATACTATATAATTCGAAGTGTTTATATAACTAGTAATACTATCTATTCACCTCTTATAATTATATTAAGAATAGATTAAGTTATATTAATATACTATTCTTATACTACTTTAGAATATTCTCAAGATACAAAACCACTTCCTTTATTAAGTTTAGAAATACTATATCTACCTGTGCCACGCCCCACTTATATTAGTTCGTTAAAACTCACTAGCCTATAAGCTAGTGCTCGACAGTTATATATTCAAGATAGTTATATAACTATTTTCTACCGATTTTAAAGCTATTTATAACTATCGCGATAATATAACCTAATAACCTATCTCCTATATAGTATATAGCTTACCTAGTCGCTTAGCCTTCCTCTAAGCCCTAGCTATCTTTACAGCGTCCTCCCCCACCTTTTTATACGCTCTTTACTTCATTAAACGCGCAGTATCCACGATACGCTCTACCTTTATAACCTTATCCTTAACGCGTTATTTAGCTATCCTATACGCCTTATTCACGGTTAAGACGCCTCCGTGCTATAGCTAGAGGTTTCTAATAGTACGGCGTTAGTAGGTAATAGCCTCGGCTAGCTTCGTACGCGCGAGGTCCCTCTTCACTTAGATTAGTTCGGATGCTAAAAATAACAACCCCTTAATAAAGGTTATCACTTTACGTTACGTGGTGAGATCTAATTCCGCCTTATCACGTAAACTACGCCTAATTCTACGGGCAGAACGATATATCTAATAAAGGGTTACTAGCATTACCGGGTTTAAGGACCTATTAGAAGGGGTAGGAGGCGGGGTAGGTATCCGAGGTCTATGCTCTTCTAACTACTATAGGATAACGTAAGGGTTAAATAGATACATCCCTATTTTCCTAAAGGCCGAAAGGATCGTTAATTACTTAAACGCCTGCTTACGTACGCCCTTAAGTAACGAGAGGAATTCGAGCTTCGTGATACTAACGACTCTATCACGAACTAACTAGTTAAGGGCTTTAGCGTAGTAGTGCTTTAAAGGCTAGAAAATAATAACGTTAAGCGGTTAAAGTGTATAGGTTAGGTAAGGAGGTAATCTAAAAGGGATAATATTATAATCGTTATAATATTATATAAATTCCTTTATATAGTAGGAGCTATGCCTATCTAGGATTAATAGCCGCTTCGCGCTAATAAATAACTTATAGGAGTGCTTATTAAAGTGCTATAGCTAATATAGGCTAATCTATTATTTAGTTAGCGGGATACTTTATAGTAAAATAAGGTAGGGCAGACCTAGTTATTAGAATATCTAGTTAGCGATACGGCTATTATTATTTCGCCGGCTATCTCTTCCAGTTTATACTATCACTGTATATAGATTTTACCACTTAAGATTAGGAAAACGGGGATAATAACGCCACCTACCGAAATAGCTTTAATCGCTATTACAGACTCCTTATTCTAAGGGGTCCTAAAATAATAGGATCTATTCCGTTTAGTGACTATAACCTAATCTTTGCCTATCCTAATCTAAAAGCCGGTCTCGTCTATATTCTAGATAGATTCCCCTAGGATTCCGTTTTCCTATATAACCTCCCGTAATTAGTTAAAGTAATAAAGAACCTGTTCGGAATTCTCGGCAGTCTAACGGTTCGTATCCATCTTCTTTTACTTCTTCTTAAAGTAGCCGTGCCGTTAAATAAACCGCGTAACCTATTATTAAATAATAGTAGGGGCGGGGCATCCTTCTTTAGTATTAAGACGCGCCTCTAGAATCGTATCTATAGTATTAGTAATAAACTTAGGTCGAACCGTAAGGTTAATACTATTAAGGCGGTCGATATAGCCGTATAGGGCTTTTTCTTCGGGCTCTAAAAGCTTCGAATTCGCTAACTTTTAACCTAGTTAAGGAGGGTAGCCGCGAAAGCGATTCCGGAGCGTGTATCGCGGGATTCTAAATTAATGCGCTACTATTAATATTATAGCCTCGGGGTTTTCGTTAATATAATTAATAGCCTTAGCGATACGAGATTCTATCTTTAAAAGGATTAAAATAGGGTATTATTATCGATAAAAACACGGTTATTATAAATAGCTTCAAAAAAGTGGTGATATAACTATCTTAAACACATAACTGTTAAGCACCAGCTTATAGGCTAGTGAGTTTCAACGAACCAATATAAGTGGGGCGTGGCACGGTAGAACCTGTATAAGCGCTTCTGTCAGTTTAACTATCCTTATTACACCTTATTATATAAGAAGGTTTGACGTGCACGTGAATGGCTGACTATTACGGTAGCAACTAATCTTCGTAATCGCGTTTGACCATTCGCTGTCGCAACTGCGAGAAAGCACCCTACCTCACAACATCGCCAGATTTCCACAGCTTGCTATTGTTGGGCAAGATTGGCGCCTTGAGCCTACTGTGCGAGGTCTCAAGTGGCCGGACTATGCAGCCCTCACGACAAAATCTGAACCTCTTCCCTTGTCCCTTCCAACCTACCACGGGTGCCGGGCACGAAGAAAGAAGCTCACATCCGCGACATCGACATTATGTCTAGCCAGGATCGGCCCCTTGGCGTGACGCCGCCCATTTCGACCAGCTTGCCAACAGATGCAGAGCATGCGGTAAACGAATCCCTTTTAGAGGAGCTCAAGAGACAGAACACCTTCGAGTCGCCCGCCGAGACAGCCAAACGGTAGCTTGGCCATCTATCATCTCCCTATGCCCCCTACGACTAACCGCTGTACAGGGAGAAGGTGCTTGAGCAGCTTCAGTTAATCTGCAACGAGTTCGTCCGACGAGTAGCGCGAGAGCGAGAGGCAGGGAGTGAGGCGCTCATCAAAGAGGCCCGGGGTAGGATATTTACCTATGGTAGTTTTCGGCTCGGTGTCTATGGTCCGGGTTCTGATATCGATGCCTTGGTCGTCGCCCCTAAATATGTCACACGCGACGATTACTTCAAGCTCTTCCCGGGACTACTTCAGGAAATTCCCCCCACTGGAGCCATCACCGACTTGGCCGTTGTCTCCGATGCCTTTGTCCCCATCATCAAGTTTGACTTCCTGGGAATCAGTATCGACCTGATCTTCTCCAGGATCGCCAGCTTGAAGCAACTCCCCAAAGACAAAGATTGGAATTTAAAGGATTCCAACATTCTTCGGGGCTTGGATGAGGCAGAACTTCGCTCGCTCAATGGCACTCGAGTCACTGACGAGATCATTAGCCTTGTCCCAGAGCCCAGTACGTTCAGGCTGGCTCTTCGTGCCATCAAATTGTGGGCGCAGCGTCGAGCTGTATACGCGAACATTATGGGTTTTCCTGGTGGAGTTGCTTGGGCAATGCTGGTGGCGCGAGTATGCCAGCTCTACCCCAAGGCCACCAGCTCTGTTGTGGTCAACAAGTTCTTTCACATAATGCGTCGTTGGCCCTGGCCACAGCCAGTTCTTCTTAAAGCCGTAGAGAGCGGGCCCCTGCAAGTCCGTGTTTGGAATCCGAAGGTAAGATGGACCACTATGCCACTGGCCGCTTCCCCCCATTGCAGGATAGCATTCTAACCAATATGATAATGTTTAGCTTTATAAAGGCGACCAATTCCATCTTATGCCAATCATCACACCCGCATATCCATCCATGTGCGCTACATACAACATTACGAAGTCGGCCATGACGGTCATACAACGGGAACTCCAGCGTGGATGCGAAATCACAGACAGTGTCATGATGTCAAAGCAACCATGGAGCGATCTCTTCGTCAAACATGCCTTTTTCACCTCCGACTACAAGCACTATATCTCGGTCATTACCACGAGCACAACAAAAGAGGCCCATAAGATCTGGTCCGGCTATGTCGAATCCAAAGTTCGCGTCCTTGTGCAAGGTTTAGAACAGCATCCGTCGATTGCTCTGGCGCACGCTTTCAACAAAGGTTACGATCGCCGCCACAAATGCTCCAGCGAGCAGGAGATCAATCAGGTCCAGGAGGGCAGTTTAGACTACCTCCTCAAGGCAGGGGATTCGAGCGCCGGCGATCCTGCGGAGGGGAATAAAAGCCCTCGAAGACCGGCCGATGGCGAACATCCAGAAATCACCCCAGAAGCAACGGAGACGATAGTCTTCACGACGACGCATTACATTGGCCTCGAACTGGTGGAAGGTGGGTAGTGCCTTGAAACCATCCCCTGTCTCGGTCGCTGCGAGCCGCTGCCTCCGGTTTGCGTGCTCGCTTCCTTCTTCCATTTTTCGACTCCTGGACTAGGATTCCCTCCACATCCACAACCCTTGGGGCACTGCTAACTATTTAGGCGCCAAATCTCTCGACCTCTCCTACCAGGTCGACAGCTTTAAGCAGCTCTGCGGGCAATGGGAGAAATTCAATAGTAACTTGAATTACCTGTCTGTGCAGCACGTCCGAAAGTCAGTCACACCAAATACGTATCTCGTCACGGCATGTTGTATTCCTAACCCTCCTGCCCAGTGTCAAATTGCCCGACGATGTCTTCGAACCGTGTGAAACAAGACCACAGAAGAAGTCTGCTACGAATGGATCTTTGCAGAAAAAGAAACGCGGTGCATCCGAGGTAGTACGAAGCGAACAATTTCCCAGTCCCCCATTTCTCTTTATCTCTTCACTACTCGAACTGCACCCACGGCGTTTTCCCGGATACTTACGAACTTTTGTAGGACATGCACCCACCGGCGAAGCGTCAGCAGTCCTCCGTCACAGCGGCAGGTTGAACATGATTTGCCCGTTCGCAGCTCGCAGGACAGAGCTCACCAATTACATATCGGAGCTGTGGTAAATTATGGTCCTTGACACCGTTACCTGACGTTATCTAGGCATTCTTATCGACTCGCAAAACGCCATCAGTTCGTTCGCTGTGATGCCGAGACGAAGGGTGAGTGAGGTTAGACCGATGAGTGCTCCGACGGGGAAGTCTGGTCGCCTAGCCGAAGACAGGATTTGTAGCGAATTTGTTCTCTCTTAAGCACGCGGGTATAAACTCAGAAAAAGGGAAAAGCGACGGTTGCAGGATAAAGATGATAGGCATCAAGGGACAGATCAAGTCCTACCCATCGTAGTATACCGCCTAGAGGGCTTCCCCGACTTAGCTTAAGTTCTAGCTTGGATATTGAGACCATTCAGAGGTAAATCAGAGTCAAATGTTCCTTGGCGTTGAGGTCTACAGCTAGCCGCAGGGGTTGCGGGAAGATTGGGCGGGCAAAGAGGAACTGAACAATCTCTTCCGGAGAATTGTCACCTACTTTGTTGTCTGGCTATCTCATTCTCCCATGTTCGTTAATAATACCCTTGGTCAACCATGCCGTCAGCTGTCCTCCACGACACCGTGTAATTGTGTCGGCGGAGGACATCCGGGAAGAGCAATTGACGTTAGTTCCTGTCCGACGTGTGTGACTCGGATGCTGATGGATTTATAAGATTCATTCGTCCTCGCTAAATCCACCGTCACTTGACCAACCTTCTTCGAAAGCCTCAGCTATCTCGGAGAGCTCGTTGATGGTGTCCTCTCGGTCCTCCGCTGGCAAATATGGAGTGATTGAATTCCTCAGCTCCTTTAAGGCGCCCGAAATCGAGCTGTCTGTACTAAGGGTAGAGGTAACCCCGATAGCCTCGCCCATGGGGTTTCCTTGCCAATCCTTGTAAATTTCGGGGAAGCTGTCCAGTATGGGGAAGGGGAGGCAGATGTAATCTCTGGGCTAGTGTCAACGACAGGATAACAGCCTAGAAAGTTGGTGATGATGGTGCTTACTTGTATAATTTCTCTTCCCCTGCCCAGCGTGGAGAGAGATCGTCATAGCCAGCATCGATGCCCTCTGAGGACTGATCCGACGTGCGAATAGTTATGGATTGACCGAAGACACGGTTTTGAGTTCCTGTTGATCGAGAAGAACCATGTCTCCTGGTCACGTTAAAGAATTCTATGACATCGCCGGCGCTGTCATGGTTTCGGTGCGAAGGCCGGAGTCGCTCATCAACTTCATCTTTCTCTTCCTTCACCTCAGACGCAATCATTTGTAAGCGGCCTATTGTCTGCCCTCCATTCGTGTTTATCCGTGCAACTACATCTCCAAGGGAGCGGCGAGCCTCTGTCTGTCTCAATCGAGACACAAGGGTGGCCGTCTCGATCGCGGTGCTCATAAGAGCGCTGCGTTCCCATAGTGAATCCTGAGCCAGGCAAGTATTTGACGGAAGGCGGCCGACAGGTAGGGAGAGGGGGACTAGCATCGATACCTGCTTGCAGATGGCGACTATGGACCGAGTCAAGTTGAGACGCTGCAGTCGGGCCTGACGCGATGCCTGTGTTCCCCAGGTCCACAAAGTCGTCTTAGGATACTCATCTCGCATACGATCAAGATATTGGGCGGCAAAACCTCCCCATGCGTCGTCCAGAGAAGTAAAAACTTGGATAGCCTGCATCTGGTCGGCCTCTTCAATAAACGGACGGAGATCTCGGTCCATCATGTCATGGGCTTTCTCGAGGGACTGAAAAAGGTCCTCTCCAAGCGACCACTTGTCAAAAGGTTGAATGGACGAGTTCAACTCGTAATCATAGATCTGGTTGAGAGAATTGGGGTGATAGTAGGCGCGGCTGAAATCGGACCAATAGCGCACTTGGCTACTTGTCAACTTCGGGGTCACATTGCCGGCATCGAGGCTCTGTTGGTATGCCGTTTGTGGCACCTCCGGGAGCTGGCGGACGACGGGTGCCCCCTCCCTTGCGTAACTCGTTAGAATTGTTCATGAAGTATAGAGCGTTGGGGTTTCCGGCAGCAACATCTGGAGGACCAACCATGGAATGGGAACGTCCCAACAGCCTGTAGTGTCATAGAGCGAGTTGATCTTTCGGAGAGAACCAAACCCGCCCTTGAGATCATATATGACAGTTCGCGGGAGGAAAGTGTCAGTTCCATCTACGCCTTGGCCAGGACGCCAGTGTATGTCAGGAGATACAGCCGATACAGGGCCATCGTCTCCATAAGTGAAGTAGGATTCCTGAAGTGGCGAGATCAGTTAGTCAAGGTCATCCCTTCACAGAGGACCGGGTAGAGAATTATGGACCTGTGTATTCCAAAAATGAGTGCCCAGGTAATTGCCCGCCTGACCAAGTTGTACAGTAATGATCTCACGCATCCTTATTTGTTCCGTCCTCTGTCCAGTATCAAATAAGCCGACCTCAGGGGCTCATCTCGCACTTGTTCTGAATTCAGTATGCGTTGTATCGATCAGTGGGTAGGTACAGTGGGTCGCCAAAAGTGAAGAGTAGATTTGACACCACCACGCGTTTACAACGCGTTTTCAACCCTTTAACACCACGACCCTTCTACTTCAAAATTTACTAAAAATCGAAAATACGTCCTATAGCCCCGCGTGTCGTATGGGCACACGGACCACGACGAGGTCCCTAGGGTATCCATGCCTGACTAAGGACTTCGGATCTCGGGGACCTCGGGTATTAAGGATATACCATATAACCCCTGAAAAAACGTACAAAGTGGTACTTCGTGAACTACCCTTTTAGGAAGTTTAAAAAGGTTCAAGGTACGTACCTACACTAATAGCACTAATATAAAAACAACTTTTAATACTATTATAAATTATCTTTAGGTTAATCTCGAATCTATTTATAGCTATTTTATATAAGAAAGGATTTAGTTACTAGGTATATATATACGCGCTATATAGGAGGTGGTTTGTAAAGCTATTAGTTATTATTTAATATATTAAGGAGGTATATAGTAGTTTCTCAGAGTACTAAGTCCCCCTGTTTTAGTATATCTAAACGTGTAGAAAGTTCCTACCTCTTAATGTATCTAGTTATACTTATTGTCCTGATACTATTGGTTTATCTAGGCCCCGCGAGTATATATTAAACGTTTTTTTAGGAGTTAGATACTAGTAAAGGAGGATACCGGAAAAGACTAGATAGGATCCAAATAACATAGTACCTATAATAGAGTCTTTACCACCTAAATTAAGGGTATAAGAGACTTATGTAGATATAACTTTATATAATATATATATATAAGATTTCTACTCTATTAAGTTAATTATATAAGTGCTATTTTAATATATAATAGTTATAAGCCCGGTTTATAAAGCCTAAATAATAAATATTAATAAGGCTACCCTATTATATTATAAAAAGTAATTATATTTATATAAGCACTTTGAAATAACTACTATTAACTTAATTAAAGTAATAAAGCGATTAATTAACTTACTAACCTACTTATTAATTGTCAGATGCCTGCGGTAGTGGTTATAATAGGTCCCTAGTGTAAACCTATAGGGGTCTAGGTATACCTAGTCTAAGACCCCTTAAGGCATAAATAAAGTAAGTTATTATATAGCAAATAGAATAGTCCCTCGAAGCAAATAAGGTAGTCCTCGAGGAAGTAAATAAGTAGTCCTCGAGGAGTAGAGCGTAGCCTTAAGGAGCGAGGGAGCCTCCCCTTTCAAAGGGGAGGCCAGCGATTAATCTGATTCTTTAGCTACCCCTACACTTTCCCACAGTGATCCTATTATGATTATACCTGGTTTCTTACTTAACCCTACCTTTCTACTCTTTACGACTACCCATTTAATATTAATTAACTAATAAATAAGTAAAGATATCTTCTAATATATTTAACGCCGAATAAAAGGTAGCTGCTATTACCCTTATTAACTAAAGGGATTAGGCGATATAGAAGTATACTATACGTGGTAAATCTGCCTCTTACTAGGATAACTATCTTAATCTAAAGCTAAGCGATAAGGAGGCTAATGCCTACTTACTTCTTAAGCCTATACTACCTAATATTTGTAAATATAAAGCCCTTATTATAGACGTAAATACGGCGGAGGAGACCACGGCTACTATATCTTTTACTATTACGCTAAAGAGTGATAAGGCTACTAATACTACGGATACCGCTATCGCTACCACTATTATAGCTACCACGGCCGCCGGTAAAAAGAAGACGGCTGCTTATAGGAAGGCTACGGCCGTAATAAAAGAACCACCGATAAGGACGCCTACGTCTATTAACGACCTCTCTGAAAAAGGGCGTACGCGTTACCTATAAAATCGCCGCGTATACCGCGAGGAAAAAGCAGATTATAACGCATAGTAGAAGGAATTAAATAAGGTATACTCGTATATTAAGGGGACCGTTAATACTATATTTTATAACCTCCTTACGTGGCTATAGAATAGTACCGTAAATAACCTATAAGCCTAGATTACTCTCCTTTACGCGTATATAGTACTAACCCTTATAGACCTCCGTAAAAAAGCCTTAATTCTATATCGACGATATACTATAAAGGCTATATCTAAGGATATAGATCAATAGATTATAAGCTAGAAAATAGCGATGATATACTATGAATATATAGGTCTTTTAGAGCTATTAAGCGCGGACTATTCGTCGGAAAACGTGTTGAAAGCTATTAGACCTATCGCCTAGGAATAGAGTAATAATTACCTAGTAAATAACTATAATAAGATTACGGAAAATAAACTAATAATTAATAACTTCGTAAAGGCTTTAAGGGCAGTTCTTAGTAATATAAAGAGCCTATAATCCGCCGCTATAAAGCCTAGCATTGCACGCTATGGCGTGCTGGACTTCCACCTAACGAGGGTTTATCTTAATGACGTTATTAGGTATAACCGTATATATAGTCGGCGACCTCGGGTACTTGGCACGGGCCTCCCCGCACCCAAAGCATAGTATAAATAGTAGTATCCTAGACTTATACCCTTAAGTCTAGAGAAATAAGACATAGATAATTCCGCGGTACCTTAATCCGATTATTCTAATTGTTATAAGCCTGGCTTAAACTAACAAAAATACCCTATTTCCGATCAATCTAGTAGATCCCTGGCTATAAATAGCCTTACCTTTTTTACCTCGAATACTACTACGGATAGTGTATTCCGCTAAAAGTATCCGCCTGCTTATTCCCTTCCTCTACCGTTAATCCATTTCTCCACCACGCCGTTAATATTATCGCGATAGTTAGTATAACGGTTATCCTCTCTTCCCCTTACGAGTAGCAGGTATAGTTTAATCGCACGCTCGAAGAAGTTGCCGCCCTTGGCGTTAAAGAGCTTATAGATCTATCTTTAAAGAAGAATAAAGCCCTGCATTATTATCGGAACTGGAAGAGCTATCCATAACGATTAACGCTACCTAGGAAGCACGATACAAGCTTTAGGTACCAAAAAATAAGAAGTACGAGCGATAGAGGGATAGCCTTATAGCTATCGCGCGGTATATTAATTCGACGATCGACTACTAGCTTTAAGAAGCCCTTATAGGCGTATAGGATACAAAGAGGAAGCTAAGCACCCTGAAGAAAAAGTTAGAACCTTCTAATATAGCGTAGAAAGCCTTGGTTAAGCGCTGTTAGGTCGATTACCTTACTATTATTAAGAAAACGTCCCACGATAAGTGGCTTAACGATTTCGAAAAACTATGCTAAGAAGCTATGACTTACGAAGTAAGGGCGATTAATTCCACCGAAGATTAACTGCACGTGTTCTTTAATACGATAGCTTCGGTAGTACTAGAATAGTTAGAGCCGTGATACTCTTTAATCCTGTTATTAGTATCGGATAAGCTGCCATCGGTATTATTAGTTATTAACGAGTGTAAGACGTGGCTGCGATATCGCCACCCTTAACGCCTCGATTATAGCTAGGCGCTGCTTCCTTCTATACGGCGATATTCCTAGGAAAAGATAAAGAAGGTAAACCTACTAATAACGCCGTAAACGCTTCTTCTTCGCCGCCGGCGATAAGGGAGTGGATTTACGATTACCAAAAAGTAAAGAAAGTAAGGAGCTTTTACTAACTATAATAGACCTGCCCTAATATTGACGAGGGGCGCCGGAAGAATGGTTAGAAGCCCTTAAAGGACATTATAGAATACTGCGACCGCGTTATTAGCTCGTAGGATAAAGATTGTTAAAAGAGATTCAGGAAGAACCTTAAGGATAACGTCGAAAAGCAGCGAAAACAGACCTCTCGGAAGTCACCCGCGAAAGATACGTTAAAAGAGGTATCTAACTTCGTTAATAGCGGGGCTATAGATTCGGAAGATAACGAATCTAACTCGTACAGGATATACTCGTTTTTTAACGAGTAGGCGATAATATTCCTGAATAACCACTCTGGCCTGCTTATTAACGAACTACTTATAGATTCCGGAACGCCTTAGTATATAACGAATTAAAGGTATCTGCTTAAAGACTTTAAACCTGTAGTAGCGACAGGGAAGATCGTAATATTCGAACTAGGTAGAGGACTCTTAAACCCTATTAAGGGGTACGGCACCTTAAATATGTAAGTGGAGGATAAGTAAGGTTATTCTATTAATCTTATTCTTCGAAATACGGCGTTTATAGATAGGTATCCGACTACCCTATTATCGACGAGGCGGTTAATAGAAGAAGAAGGTATCGAGTTTTTAACTAAGGAAGAGATGCTTAAAAAGAGTAGTATAACTCTTCCCCTCTCTAACGTCCACGGTTAGTATATCCTTAAACCAACTAATAGTTACTTAAAGGCGTTAAACGCCTCGAGCTTTTTTAATAGCTCGAAAAAACTAAGTATTAGCGTGGTAGAAGCCGTATTATAGCATAAGCGCCTCGGGTATATAAGCCCTAGAGTACTCGAAAAGATCTTAATAGCCTATTCTGGGGCTATTATAAAGAGTAAAGGACCATTAAAGATCGAATACGAGGCCTACGCGACGTTAAAAGCGTAGAGGGTAGTATCGCGATAAGCACCTACCTATTAGCCTTCACGACCTTAGTATAGAGTTAATATTAACCTCTTTTCTATAGAGGAATCGTATAACGGTATAAAGGTTATAATCCCATTCCACGACCTTTACACAAAAAGCACGGTTATTTAACTGCTTCCGAATTATACACCGTCCCTTAAAGTAGTAGCTGACTTCGAGCTTTACCTATAGCGTTAGTATCGCTATACGATAGCGGTAGCTAGACTTAATAGGGAATACGCCTTACGGAAGGACTTTAAGGAATAGATATAGGATCGCGGTATCCTGATAAAGAGGTCCTCTCCCTATATAGTAGCGCAGAATATGGAAGTAAAACGCCACGGCGGTATTATC